CCTGGGGGCAGCCGGCGCGGACCTGCGCCTCTGCCGCTTGCTTGTCCGCGGAGCCGGGCCGGGCCGCCGCGCCAGGAGCGTCCCCGCGCTGGCGCAGACGCTCCGCTGCAGCAGGAGCTCGGTCTTGCCCGCTCCGTCTGCTCCGCGTGTTCTTGAAGCCTTTACTCTTGTGACCTGGTGCCAGGGCAGCCGCTACTACTGAATTACTGCACGAAGGGCGCGCGCGCTTGGGGCTGGCCCTCGGCCTGCTGTGTGTCCAGAAACCAGCTGGAGTTTTGCTCTGGACTTGTGCCGCGGCTCCCCCGCCCCACGCAGTCCACCCAGCCCAGCAAGAGATGGCTGCTCCATCATTCAAGCTTGGGAGTCGGCAGAGGTTGGACAAAGTAGTCACATGCCCCCGTTGCACGCCTTAACCATGCTAGTCTGAGGGACCATTAGGCCCTGGTGGACCTTTGATTTTTGATACTGGCTCTTCTAAGGTAACAATGTTGGCAGCCCCCCACTACCAGAAGGATAGTTTTTTGGTGAATAGGGGAGTCCTCAGAGAGCCCAGAGATGGCTGAGGAGCCCAGTCTGAGATTCTCATGTTGACTGCAGATATGAGAAGTAGTTCTGGGAGGAAGGAGTGGATCAGGTCACAGCTCTCTCTTTGTGTCTCTCCTCTGTCCACCTCTGTAGTGAGGTGAGTTTCATACCTTGTACATGGGGGTGATTCAGTATTTGAGTCTAGAGCAGTGACCATCAGTGAGTTGGGAGTATAGGACCTGTTTCAGGGGCTGGCTGTCAGGCACCCTTATAACGTTCTAACCAATAGAGCTAGCGTCATAGAAACACAGCTTCAATTCTGGTAGAGCTTCCTTGATCCAGAAAGCTAGCATTCATTCTTCTTTCCAGTTGAGATGGAGGATTTCCTGAAAACATCACCAGCAATTATCTTCCAAAGCTTTCAGATGCTTCCAACATGGCATCCAGGTTTCACACCCGTACAGCAGGATAGGAAAGACCCTGCTAGAGTTTGGTTTGGGTCGATTTCATGATCATCAAAGATGGGATTTCAGAGATGTTAAATGTTGTCTGTATTTTTGGGAAAGGTGGCTATTCAGGTAGGGGAGATACTCCGCATTCTTCAAAGACTGTCCTCTAATTGTAATATGCGAAGGAACAGCTGATTGGCTTGGTGTGGATTGGTAAAATATCTTGATTTTTGTGAAGTGGGCAGTGAAGCCAAGCATTTCATATACTTCACAGAGATGTACTTACTAATGTAAATATACTGTGTAGAAAAGGTAAAAGTTCTCTGGGCATTTCCCTGGCTGCATGCTGAAGGGCATAATTGCAAGTAAGATAAATGACATGGGGAATAACAGCTACATTAGGAACTTGCACTGCTTTAAATGCTGTCAGCCTTTTGAATCGCTGTGGAAATAGGACTCTACTGTGCAAAGACACACCCAAGGGTCATTCCTACTCATCCTAGTAGAGAGAACCCCTGAGGATATTTAGTGGCATATGTGAGCTGCTCAGATTCTGTGCTTTTGAGTGCCAAAGAAAAAGCTATACATAAATAAAGGTGAGCTTAGCATTTCTGCCTAGAAAAGGTCAGTAGAAGCATTGGGGGTAAGCCAGAAACAGCTCTCACTCAAAGTCACAGATTCAGACAATGCATACAGTAGAATCCTGGCGCAGGCAAATCCCAAAGGTGGACTGGACTCAGAGGTAAAAGCTAACATCCCCAGTAAAGCTACTCTTCCCTCCAGTGCTCAACAGTGAGGAAATGCCATGCCTAAAGAAGTGATTAAGTGGATCTTTATGACCAGAGGCAAATATTCGTCAAAACTTCTGCCTGACTCCTTCCATCTGCCTTTTATCTGAACCGGAAAGGGTTTAGGAAAATAAGACACATTTCAAGTGAAACAGAGCACACCAAAAACCTTTAAACAGAAAAAAGCAAAGGGGGAAACTGAATCATAAGGAAATATAAAGATCAGTCTCTTAACATCATGGAATCATAAAAAGTTGGGAGGGAAGTCATGTCCAACCCCGTGCTCAAAGCCGGACCATCCCCAAAGAGATGTTCCCAGCCAGGGCTTTGTTCAGCCAGGTCTGAAAAACGTCTAAGGCTGGAGATTCCACCACCTCTCTGCGTAGCTTGTTCCAGTGCTTTATTACCCTCCCAGTGAGAGAGTTTTTCCTAATATCTAACCTAAACTTCCCTTGCTGGAACTTGAGACTGTTGCTCCTTGTTCTGTCATCTGCCACCACTGAGAACAGTCTAGCTCAGTGGCAGGCAATTATTTCAGGCGGAGGGCCGTTTACGGAGTTTTGGCAAGCCATTGAGGACCACATGGGTAGGCCCGCCCCTTGACAGGTGCCCGATCCCCTGGTTGCCATCTTGGGACCAAAAGTCCCACTCCCTGACCTTTGCCATCAGAAGTCCCTCCCCTTAACCCTGGAGTAACTCCTTTCAGCAAGGTGTTTTGCCATCTCTGAACCAGCAAAATACCAAATTATATTCTAAAAAATCTCAAATATGTACTACAACATTCATTAATTTCATTTCAAAAAACATTTTTGTCCTGATTTACAGGCATTTATGTAGTGTACATTGAGATGATAGTATAAAAGCTTAAAATGAAATCTTACTCTTGTATATTGTGGGAGGGGTGTGGGTGGGAGGGTGAGTATAGGGTGTGTGTGATTAGTTGGGGTGTGGATAGATGTGGGGTGTGTAGGCTGTGGGATGGGCATGGGTTTTGTGGGGGCCTGGGAGAGTGTAGGGGAGGGTTGTGGTTTGTGGAGGGGGAGGGTTTGCCCACAGCCTGTTTCCTCCCTCCCCCCCACCGACCCATGGCAGGCAGAGCCCCCGCCAGCACTCCTGCAAGCCTGTGCTCCTGTCACTCCTGGCCCCGGGGCATTGATGCAGTCCCCATGCTGCTTGGCAGGGCTTGCGTGGCTGCAGCAGAGAAGGAAGAGACGGGCTTAGCCACCACCACCTTCTCCTTGTCGCACACTACCACAGCAGCGACAAGGAGATGTCATCTTTGACACAAGCCAGGGGCAGATAAATGTTAATTTTCTAAATTTTTGAGGGGCCCCACAGGTCGGATAGAATGGCTTGGCAGGCCAGATCCGGCCCGCGGGTCATATTTTGCCCACCCCTGGTCTAGCTCTATCCTCTTTGGAACCACCCTTCAGGTAGTTTGCCATCCCTCTCTTTGATGAGAAGCCTGAAAGGTAAGATTCTTTTTTTGTACATATATATAATGCGGACTAACTAGATAGTTTTATTTTAGCAGTTAAAACTCGGCAAGAGACTAGACCAAGACTTAAGCCCCTTGTTTAGTTAGAGTCCAGTGTGAGGGGGAGTTTGTTTGGAAACTCTCTCTCACGTTCCTTTACTGTAAGCTTGCTGAGAGGAAAGAGGTTGCAGGGAAAAGGAAACCCTTCAGATCAAGGAATAGCAAACAGGCCAACTACAGCAGGGTTTGCTGGGGAAGGTTTGCTTGGAAAGAGGCACAAAATGAGAGGCAGCAGATTAGAAGACCAGGAAGCATGACTGGAAGATGTTGTAATACCAGAACCACTGCCACTTCCAGCTCTTCCTCTGCTTCCACCTGCAAGGTGTCTGTCCAGGCAGGACCATACACTGTTGAGGCTTCCACTCAGGTCCTGGTTTGGTGTGGTACAGACTGCAAGCAGCTTACAGGTTCCTTCTAGTGTCAGCCAGGTGGAGGAGTGCTTGCACTGTGAGTGGTGCCTTCTAGTGGTGTCCCTCACGGAGAAGGCAAGAGAGCTACAAGATGAGGTAGCGGGGCTCTGAAGCAGCCTCCGCCATGAGGACTTCATCAGTTCTATGCTGGAGGAAACCTCTAGGACTGGAGGATGGACTGCCAGAAGTAGTGCTAGAAAAGAAAGAGGCCATGAGCTCCCAGGAAGATGGAAGCTGGAAGCTTGTATCTTCTGGCAGCAAGAAGTCACCATCCCCATATGCAGTGGTTTGCCTGGAAAACAGGTATAGAGTCCTAGCAACAGAGAAGGAGGAGCACATTCCATTGGTGGAAGAGGCCAGGGCAGGAATCCTAAAGGCGGGGAAGATTGAGAGCACTGCTATGAAGGGGAAGTAATGGATGGTGGTTGGAAACTTCCTTCTATGGGGGACAGAGGGATCCATCTGCTGGCCTGACTGTTGTCCCAGGAAGTCTGCTGCTTGCCTGGAGCTCAGATCCAAGATGTCACACAAGCAGGGCTGTCCATGGAGAGACGGTGAATCTCAGGGCAACTGCCCCGGGCCCTGCACTTTGGGGGCCCCCACAAAGCCAGGCAGAGCAGCAGTGGCATGGAGCTGGGCGGAGCGGCGACTCTGCCTCCAGCTACTCGCTCCCCCCTGGCCCCCGTTGCCACCACCACCACCAATGGCGGCGGCAGCTTCTTCAGGTCCAGGATCAGAGTAGGGGCAGGGCCCTGCATGGGCTGATTTGCCCTAGGTCCTGCACCCTGCTCAGGTCACCTCTACGTGGAAGGATTACCGAGAGTCTTGTAGACTCTTGTTTGACTATTTTTTTAAATATACATTTTACATTGTACTTACATGACAGTAAACTACTACAAGAAAAATACAGGCCATACTGTTAGCCTCAAGTAAAAGTCTAAGAATACCATTAGTGATTCTTGCAATTAAAATAAAGCAGTAGGCCTACACAATACAT